ATTGGGCAGCCCTTCCCCTAGAAAAGTAGGCTTCTCGGATATATAACTTCGACAAAAGTTGAATTTTGTAAAGATAAAAATTCACTAACTCCTTGGATTTGTAGAAATTTGGGCAGAACTTTCCTTAGCGAAAGTGTCCTTCCAAAATTTAAATAAAGTCAAATATGTAATGACCCGCCATAAAACAAACTGAGAACACTGCTGAGTTTTTAGTTCTACCAATGAAATGAATGCCTTGTTGAGATTTCTGCATTTTGCCGAGTTTTCTAAGTTTGTGTGTGTGCGCGTGTTTGGTGACCTGCGTGTATGTCTGAGTGCTTAATGCCTGAGTGCGTGTATGACCCGCAAGGGTACTTGCTTGTTTGGGAGGCCCGTAGGGTTGGTACTTACCTATGGCCGTGACATTGAGGGTTGTAGCGGGGAAACACTCAAGGGGCAGAGCAAAAGGCCCTCGACCCTTAGAGCAACGGAAAAACACTCAAGTCTGAGTGCTTAGATGTGTCAGGTAGGCTGGTACTACACCGAGTAGAATTAGATGTGTCAGGTACTCGAGGCCTAGCAGAAGAAGACATAGTTGGCATTTTTAGAGGCCCAGTAGCGGTAGGCTAGGTCTCGGCAGGTCCCAGTCCATCCAGTCTGAGTCTAGGGCTTGTAAGGCAAGTAGGCCGCTATATCTTCGGGTTGAGACAAGAGCTCAACCTTATTCTTTGGTGTGCAAGTTTGGCGACATACTGCTGGAGTGCTGGCTGGTGGAGCATTGGGTACTACAACGTTGTTGGGAGGAAGAAGACCGGGAACTCCCACCTCGACTATGGTGGAGCTCTATTGGTAGGAGGAGGAGGGAGAAAAGGACTTAGGAGGAGAGTGGCGAGGTACCTACCCGGCTATGGTGGACACCATTTTCATCACCTTGATAGGCGTTGCATCTAGCAGGCCCCAGTTGGGGTAGTGCCGCGCCAAGGAAGCTCGGGCAGAGTCAGGCATGGTGGCTTAATGAGCAGCGACATAACTGCTTTGTGTTGTCCTTTGGACAGGAGGGCAGCGACATAGCTGTTTTGGGTTGTCCTTTGGACAGGACGACAGATCCCTCAGTAGTCCGCCATAGCCTCGGCCTACATGAAGAGGAAGAAGAAGGATGGTCATGGTTATGGTGCACCTCATGATGTGCCTACAGTAGAAGAGGGATTCAGACATTGATTCTGGTTCAGCCATTCAACATTATTATTATTATTTCTTGTTTGAACAAGAGGGGAGGAGATAAGGAGGGCGAAAAAGAAGAGCATTATCATTGGTCTATGTTGGAGTACATCATCTTCTTCTTCTTTCTTTATTCTTCTTCTTCTTCTTCTTCTTCTCTTCCTCTCTCTCCTCTCAAGCTCATTCATTTCTTTTTACAATTGGACGACATTGTACTTCCTCATGAATGCGTACTTTGAAATTGACCAGGATTGTAACAAATATGAAAAAAAAAGTTAACTTTGAAATGTAGAAATTGAACTCACTCCTATAGCTCAAGCACATGGCGAGCATTTAAAACTACTACCTATCGAAAAACCACTCAAGCTAGACTCAGGCGAGACTCACAGTCAAGCAAACACATACAATCAAGGTAAGTCTCTCACAAAAAGTCCCAAGTTGTTTTCATATAAGATAGCTCGGTGATCCTCCAAATGATTAACCTTTTACCCATCTTACATATGGCACGGCGCTAGACCATTCTGCTTAGAAACAATGTCAAGCATGCCTGAGGTTATACACGAATAGGTTGCACAACTACTTCTCTCTTCTTTGGGCATATGACTAGACCATTCTGCTTAGAAAGACTGCCTAGTTGTCTTTGACTATTTAAATATTCAAAATTTAAATAACTCTCTAACTTGTCTTTTGATATGGGCAGGAGACTGAACCATTCTTCTTAAAAACAATGTTCAGCTTGCCCAATTAACTTCCAATTATACTCTTGACTTTACTTCTCTTCTTAGCGATATGGCTTAAGCTAGACCATTCTGCTTATAAACAATGTCAAGTTGCCTGTTCACATGCAAATATAATTAAGTATTTCCAATGTATACTCTGTTTGCACTTAGTGCGTGACTTCAGGCTAAACCATTTTACATAAAAACAATCCTTAGCCTTCCACCAAAATCCTCCCTCAGAACAAAACAAAAGGCTGAACCATTCTGCTTATAAACAATGTTCAGTCTATCTGAAGACACACATGAAGTTGGACCATTCTGCTTAGAAACAAGTAGACCAAGTCGTTCCGCTGAGAAACAATGCTTGGCCCCGCGAATCAGACAGGCAAACCCTAAAAAATAAACATAGCAACCAGACCATTCTGCTTAGAAACAACGTCTGGTCCCTCGAAAAAAAAAAAAAAAAACATAGCACTCGGTCATTCTGCTTATAAACAACACCCAACCTTTGATCGACCCAGTTAGACGCATGCAATACGACCTTCCTCCCACCTTACACTAGTCCATCCCTTAGTCTGATTTCAATCACTAAACAAGATTGAGATTCATGCATGCATTCCTTTCACTTTGTTTGATTGGATTCTAAAAGGAAAACAAATTGTAGGGATGCATGCACACATAACATTCAGACTAGAGAGATGTACATAATTCAAAGACAACACTCGTTACATGACAGTTCTCTGCCTCCAGAACCTCGCCTAGGTTACGACAAAGCTCTAACAATCGGTGGGGCGACCTCCCACAAAGGCCTCGGCGTGGTTTACGAGTTTCCAATCTTGCCTGCCGCCTTCCTTTCGTAACCTTTAGACTAGACTGAGAACGAGAAAGACAAAAAATAAGTCGTTAAGTCGCTCAGATACAAGGAGAGGTCCACTCAGACTCGCAGGTGAGGGCCTTGAAATCTTGTTACGCCTGAGGGCCCTGCAATGATGGCCAAGATTGCAATGAAAGTGGCCAAGCCACAGCCAAATGCAAAATAGAAAGGCCCTTTGACAGCCTCAAGGTTGCAGCAATGTCCCCCTTTCTCAGCCTGATCACCCCTTCAAGTCACCACGCCCCCGCCTCTGATAGAACTGCAGGTACGCAGCCTAGGAGGGCCGTGTCCGGATTGAGCACAACCCTGTGCTCCATTTGAATATGGACATAACTCAGCGAATATGCAGCAGTAGAGCATCGTGCAGCTCCCAGCAACGCTACAGTGTTACACAGCACAACACCACACGCGCGGCAAAGGCACAATAGCAAAGCCCGAACACCGTGTGCACAGTAATGCACAGCAGCGCAGCCCAGCAATTGCTCAGCAGTCAGTAATAGCAGCGCCGCACAAGGTTGTGCAAATGCTCAGCAACTCAGTAGGGCCTCTGGCAGCCACCAACAGCCACTAGCAGCATGGTTAGCAACAGATTCCCACACCATAGAGGAGGCGTTCAGCATTGCGCAGCATAAGGCACAGCGCAGCCACGGCAAGGTGCAGTAGCAAGCACTTACCACTGCGGCATCACTTAGCAGCACTACAACAAAACCCAGATTACCGTATCAACAATATGGGCTCAATGTAGGGGCCCAATTCGACAGGCTAAGTTTTGCAGCAAGCGAAAGGAAGCAACAACTTTCTAGTCCACAACTGTCCTTTAACCCAACTCAAATCAGTTTCTGCACTGGGTAACAACAGCAATGAACTTCTTTGCACAGCAACAACAACACTTCAAACACCCTGTGATAGCCCAGCATGCTAATTACGGAAATCCGGAGTGTCTATCTCAGCTGTGGTACAACAAGTCACTCCACCAACTGCTGGCAACAACCCCTTGGAGAGTGCTGGCCACGAAGTCAGACTAAGGCCACATTCGTTAGCGGAATTAACCAAATGAATCACTCTACTAACTAAGAACGGTCATCCATCAACGCTTAGTAATCCCTCTTCAAACACCCTTCTCATCTCTTTGCATTCGCTATCCTTCACTGTTTCGATTGGCCAGGTCGATCGCTTTCTACACAGCCTCCCGTACGCTGGAATGACAGAGGTAAGCTTCCCTTTTCCTTCCTCTCTCCTACTAACTCGTTCCATCTCTTACGCACTCTCTTTCTCTACCTCGTCCCACAAGCTCTTTCACAGTTCCTCGTTGTTCTCTCGTTCGACCCCTATGAGCTCTCCCGTAAGGCACACTGCCCTCACCGTACCTAGGCGCAATCAGGACCAGATACAAGCTTGCTCAAGATAAACTCGGGCAAGCTGAGCCTCACCACGCGCACGAGCAGTAGCTTGTCAACAACGAATAGGAAGATGGTGGCGACCACTGTAAATACAATGAGCACCCAGATGAGGTCAAATACGACGAGCGCCAAGACCCATAGGGTCCATGACTTGTCTCCAAAGGTAAGAGCACTGAAATGACCTGGACGATGTAAGATATATGCCCGAATATTCGGATCCCTGCCTGGCACGTGGTTTTGCGGAGCAGGCTGGAATTGCAGTTGCCTACCCATAAACGCCATAGCCAGGACTTCTATGTTCACACCAGGTGCAGTGCTGTGTGTGTGTGTGTGTGTGTGTGTGTGTGTGTGTGTGTGTGTGTGTGTGTGTGTGTGTGTGTGTGAGAGAGAGAGAGAGAGAGAGAGAGAGAGAGAGAGAGAGAGAGACAGAGACAGAAGGGCATTGCCAGCACTGACCAAGCAAGCTAGTCACTCATATGATGCAATTACCTAGCCAAGATCCAAAGTCCAGTTGAACAGTGCAAGGACAGTATTCAGTCTGTCTCTTATACACATCTAGATGTGTATAAGAGACAGGAGAGAGAGAGAGAGAGACAGAGACAGAAGGGCATTGCCAGCACTGACCAAGCAAGCTAGTCACTCATATGATGCAATTACCTAGCCAAGATCCAAAGTCCAGTTGAACAGTGCAAGGACAGTATTCAGTCTATCGATAGAAGTCTACATTAGGCCTGTTTATTATGTGTGTTTTTCAAATGGAATGTGGCAAATCCATATGCGTCCCTGGGCGTAAGGGTTTTGGATGCTTACTCGAGTTCCATCTTCATTGACATCATCTTGACTTCTGCAACAATATTAAGGACAAACTTCAGGTCCTCGAGCGTGTCTGGTGCCTGCAGAAGTTGGAAAAAAGGGCAATTTTGTCACAAAGCAATCGAATGTTGGTCTGTTAAGCTTTATGCCAACGTGCATCAATAATAAAAACTGAATCAAGAACAAAATCATAACTGGTTGGGAGCATCACACCAGACCTGTACTGGAGGGTGACACCAGCATACTTACGAAAATACAAAAAAAAAAAAAAAAATCATTTTCAGTTGGGCACGTGGCTCCCCTTAGCAGCCCGCGACAAACAATATGAGAAAAACACAGCCACGAGAGCCCGCATGTTTCATTGCTCCCTTCACATATCCGCTCATGCAGGGCACAAAACTGCCTGATGTATCCAGTACTTATAGCGTCTGAGTGGTGCAAGTGATTACTGCTCTCACGGCTCTCTACCACCAGTGACCAAGAACCATTTGGAAGGGTAAGCTGACGAGGTTGAAGATGCAAGGAGACCCTCACTCATGCATCATCCATTCCATGTGAGCGTGCAGATATGGTGGTCAGACCAAACATATGAAAATCAAGTTGTCCTTTCTCTTCGAGAATGGCCACACAGCTCAACACAATTTCAGAGCTACAGTCATCAGATGGCACGGAGTTATAGATGGTGCAGCTATGGTGGGTCAGCCCGACAAATACGCTCACAGACTTGCAAATTTGAGATAACAGGACTGGCTCACGGGTTGACACGCTAGAGGAAGGGGAGGCTGTCGGGGTGACTAGGTTAGTCTTCATGAGATCTTGGGCATGGTAGTGGCCCTGCTCCTATGCTCCTGCGCAAATCTAGTGGAGATTGGTTGGGCAGTGTGGGCAGAAAGTGAGGAGTGTCTTCTCATGGGGAGTGGGAGGAGGGAGGCTTGTTATAAGCTGGAGCGTCAAAAAGAGCTGGTGGTTTCAAGCGTTCGTTTGAGCTGGTTCATTGGTTAAAGACACGGAAGCAGGTAGCGGCGCAATAATGACAGCGGCGATGGAGCAGGAGAATTTCGTGCAAACATGTGTGGTGTTGCTTCGCTCTTCGCGTCAGCTGGCTTTTCAAATTGCTTTCGCCGATTTTAATTTTGCATCTTCTAATTTCCTATATTCTTGCTCTAATCTAGTGCTTACACAGTTATAAATTCAGTTTCTCAAATTTTGGAAAAATAAACTCTTAATCTTATCTTCTATTTTATGATCAGCCAAATTCTCATTTATATGCACACACACACACACATACACACAAACATATATATATATATATATCGTCACAAATATATATATTCTCATTTATATGCACACACACACACACATACACACAAACATATATATATATATATATATATATATATATATATATATATATATATATATATATATATATATCGTCACAAATAGAACTGCCCGGTAAA